TTTCTCAGCTGTTGATTTTTGTTGATTTACATAGTTCTTATAAAAACTAGTTCTTTTGTTTTTCTTTTTAAATTTTGTTTATGGTTCAGAGTTATGGCGTCATTGGGTGTCAGTTCATCAAGAGGCTACATAGAGACAAAAAATACATTCACACGCACACAAACAAAGCCAACCCTAAAGTTAATATTTTTRTATGACAGAAGGAAGCTGCAGTGTGAATATGAAACGTTTTCACAATCAACATCTGAAAACCTGCAGATCCACACTCCACAGTTTTAAATTAACTACAGATGGTGAAAGTATTGAAAGACCACTTGTTTTGTTTTCTAAAGTCAATTTAAAAAATGAATATTAAAATGTAGCTCATTTACCTTACAAACAAACACTTTAACAAAGTTAATTAAAATCTGAATCAGGGTAACAGATTATTCTGACCTGACTGATTTTTGCATATTTTTTCCTCGAAATGACCAAAATCCAGAGCAGTTTCACTTTCAGTAGCTTATTAAAACAAGACGTTGAGTTCCTCCTCCAGCTCCTGGTGGAGAATGTACAGTATGTGTGCAATCAAGGAAACTATTGATTGGGCCCATTATGCTCTGATTAGCTCCCCTCCCAGCAGATTATTGTGAGAATAAAGGAACCCTTTGTTTCACCTCCTCGTCTGCACAGCCTGTCCTTTTCTTTTTGTCTTTCCTTGCACATCCTTCCTGTTTCCCTCAACCAAATCCTTCACGTCCCTCAGCAGAGCTCTGCTTTCTGAACTGTTTGCATTTATTCTAATTAGAATTAGATTCTGGGCTTTTACACCTGTGATTACCGGAGGCGTTTCCTGTTTGGAAAAGTGCTCCCGATGAGCACCTAAAGTTCGCTCCTGGATTCATCAGTCTCTCTCTCTCTCTCTCTCTCCATGATTAATCCCCCTCCAAACATCACCCCCTCCATTCTGCCTAACCAGGAAGTGTGCACAGGAAACAGCTGCCCCTCACATCCGCCTGCTCGCCCCAGGCCAGGTGCATCCTGGGAACAGAGCAATGTGTGACCGTCGACATGCGGCTGACACTGTACGAGGTGCCGTTACAGTAATCAGAGTTACCATGAACTTTATACAGACACTGGATAAAAATAAGTCTTTCTATAATTATTTTTACTGAACTTTTTTTTTTTTTTGAGGGGGCGGGTTAGTAAATTCAGCCATTTGGGCTTCATGCTGGAGATGGGGCAGATTCAAGTATGTAGCGAATTACCCCTATGAAACTTAGGACCAGCCTAATCTTCACAAAGATAATCCCTCAAGATCTTGCAAAATGAAATCAGGTTTTAATGAAACACACCTCTGATCATGAATGAGAAAAAATGAAAACTTGTGACCTGAACAGATTTCTCAAAATAAAGTAATTTATTTTAGATATATGAACAGATTAAACATACAAGCATTTGTTAAAATTATTATATGAATAAATGACACAAGTTGTATATTTTCGGCATAAAATTCCACTCAGAGTTGACACAAACAGTAAATTTCAGGTGTTGTAATTTACTGGTACGCTACTTGACTAAGTTTTTAAGTAAATAAGAGAGAAAAAGGTAAAGATTTAAGTTAAGAATAGGAGGAAGGAGAGAAATTAGTGAATTTAGCACTGTTCTTAATAAACACTGACCAGACCAGCACCAAACAGCATGTCAGAACCAGACATTCCCGGGGCTAGACTTTCTTCGACGTTTATCTCAGTAAACACTTTGTCTACCTTTTGATGTCTTGACAAAGACCACAGGCAGGTGGACGGTTTTGAGAGAGTCGGCATAACAGTCCGCCAAGATGGGTAATGTCTCCTTGACAGCTCGGAGGGAGATGCCTCTCGCCTCCCCATAAGGAGACTCAGCGGGCTCCAGGCTGGAATCAGTCAGGTGCTTCTCAGCAGCAAATTAGGTTAGTAACTTCCATCCAGGTTTACTTCCATGCAGGTGTCGAGAGATGGACACCACCTCAGAGAAAACCCAGTCAGAACCATCCACTCCGACGAACAATGAACAACTGACTAGTGTTAACTGTGCTGAACAGAAAATTAGTGTCAGAGGGAAAGGTGAGGTGAGAAAGTAAACAATGTTCCTTTCTCACAAGAGCTGCGGCCAGCTGCGTTGTTGTTTATCAGCAAAAGGACCTTGAAGTCAGACAGACAGCCTAAGCTGTGTCTTAAAAATCACTTCACCTAAGCTTATAAACCACACCACACTTTGCACAAATGGATTAATAATGAAATTAATAGTACACAATTATTAAYCTTTAAACCAATTAAGAAAAATGATTAAACCATGATTAATAACAGTACTAAGAAAAAACATTAAAGCACATTTCAACTCTTTTTCTTCACAGTGTTATACTTCTGGAATAAAGAGATGCAAAGATTAATTCAATAAACTTTGAGTAATGATATATTGACCATAACCTCTAATAGAAGATTAAATGAAATAACATATATATAGGACTTATTGTCCTATTCGCTTAAAGAAAATAAAAACACTTTAAAATGATGTTCTTCTTATAAGTATAAAAAATAAAATAAAATCAAAGACAAAAATAGAAATGAATATTTCACCAGGGTTACCCCTACAAGTATGACCACCATAATTATGATTTATCATCTGGTCAATCCATCCACAAAAGAAAACACTTCAGTCAAAGGGACAATCTGCTGAATGATCCTGATGCTGTGACACTACTTACTGTGTGTTTTTTTTAATGACAATTTATTTGAGAAAAGTGTCATGTGACAACGTAAAGCCCATGCTGCTTCTTTGTCCTCGGTGTAAACCAAAACTCTCCTGATCGTCTGCCCTGTAGCTGGACGGCCAGCCCCCACAACAATCAGGACAACTGTACAGAGAGGACATCTGCCGCAGCAGAGGAGGCGGAGGGAGAGCGTCTGTCCCAGCCAGCGCTCGCAACACTGTTTATCACTTTCTCCATGAAA